AAAAAAAAAAAAAAAGCGTCATTTACTATACAGCCACCAATAATTTTTCTTGCACTTATTTTTCACTCCATTTTTTTGTCATAAAATTTAAATTTTTCTAAGCTACTTGTATACACAATTTCAGTAAAAAAAAAGTTAAACATTAGCACTGCAATAATAAAAGAATGGTAATTTTGAAGCATTAATGATACGGCAGATATGAAGAAAAAAGTTTTATTCAACTGAGAGAAACAAATGAAACAACTGGTCGTTTTTACAGACTTTTGAGCAACAGCATGTCAGTGTATTATTTTGTCCAAGTTCCATAACTGTAGACTTCTAAGCTTTTAAACTATTTCTTATCTTCTCCTTTTTTCTTGTTTAATAATTGCTTTTTAAATAGCAGTTACGTCGCGTTGATAGTGTATAATCTGATGAGCATATCTATGCGTCGCATTTAACACTACAAAAGTCAACTTTTTATTCTCCTCTAGTTGATTTAAGAACAAAATTTAAATTGCACAACAAAGAGAAAGCTTGAAGCTGTTTGATAACAGTTTTTTCTTGATCCTCAGCAAAACAGAAAAGGTTAAAAAAACGAAAGTTACAATACTGGTAAAGAATAATGAAAAACTAAGCTGCACTCGTTTGCATAGTTTATATTGTCTTCTAGAATTTCCAATTAATTTAAGGTTGTTATCTGCAGTCATATTTTTTAGTAACAGTTGTGGTTTCCACAGAAACGAATATCTGTAAACGGAAATACTATCAATTTATCTTCTGCAGTGTAAGAAGCAGCAATAGCAACAACAACAGCAACAACGAAAATGAAGAAGAAGAAATTTTTCGTTCATAGATTAAAAATTTTTGTATGTTCTACTTTTTCCCCTCTTCACCTCTCTACTTTTTCTTCTTCTCATATTGACTGTAATCATTACAGATTACCAAATCGAAATGATTAATTACGCACATACTTGTATTTAAGAAAACCGAACATTTCAGGAAGCCATTTTATAGACAAATGATCTTTTTTCGTACAGTTCAATGAGCATATATATACTCTGCTGACTAAATAGATATTACAAATAAATCAGATCTGATTCAAATATTTTTTGATCTATCATCAACGATCGATGAACAGAAAACTGGCAGAAATAATATAACTGCTTAAAGTTATTTCCATTCAACTGTTTGACACGTTTACCAATCACCACTTCGACACGTTTTCAGTTGACAACAGCGGCTATTTCACCATCGTAATTTCAAACCAAGGATAAAGTCAGCGTAGATTTCTGCCTAAAAATGGTATATATAGACAGCTATATTTATAACATACATTCATATCAGTACATATATATAAAAAGTAATGAATCTGTAAGCTAAACGTCTCATTTTTGTAAACTTTTTAATCACCAATTACTTGGTTATTAAACGGTGCATTTGTTCAACAAGCTTAGTTGTCATTTTCAACCCATTTTTTGACTCTTGAAACAGCATTTTTCAAATAAGAATAAAGTTATTGCGGTAAACATAAAATGCCAAAAATTCTACTGTTGTTCATTTGATTAATAAGCCTACGCTTTTTAATCGCTAAGATTTTACTAACTAGAAATTCGTAGTCTTTTCAGGGAAAAAAAAAAACGATTTACAGTGAATAGGATTTTAAAAAAATCCATTATCTTTATAACGTAGATCAAAACAAAAACATGCAGTACCTGGACGTCGTATAAAACTGCCTTCACAAAAAAAGTAGGTGTAAAAAACAAAAATAATTATTCAAACTTAGAAAATTCTTGTAATTTTACTGATGCACACTTTGAATTTCGGCCCAAATTTCTGTTCAAAACAAACTTTGTATGCTCAACCACTTTTGAATATTTGTTCATATTAAGCAAAAAAACTCTGTAAGAAAAAGCGGCAAATACAGCAGAGAAGTAAGTTTTGATTTGCTTTCACCAAGAAATTTTTGTACTAAATAGATATGTTATGACCGCAGTCAATACACATCGCACAATTCT